GCTTCGTTCTTCCTGTGGGTCTGGCGACCCCCTTGTTACCTGAGAAATTGTGTCTATACTCATCTCATGTTTAAAGAACTTCGTTCTTACCGTTGGTCCCATGACCCATTAATACCCCCTGGTTTGTTGTTTTAATTTCCTTTATAGTTTTTTAATTTGTTTTTTTTTCTTTTAATTTTTTGTTTCATTTTTTTTTATTTCTTGTTGTATTCTTTTCTTTTTATTTCTTGTTTTATTATTTTTTTTTTTTTTACATAATCTTGACTCAAACATTTATCATTTAACAGAGTTCTATCAGTTATAAAATTAACAATGAGAAACTTATGAAAATTTATTTACAAATAAACAAAGTCATGAAAATTGCGCTGTCAAAATTTGAAGGCACGAGGATTCCTAGGAGCCGAGTAATAAATATTCATATTTAGCTAATTTTTACATGTAGGTTTATAGGCTGTCGTCTTTTTAAGCGCTTCTATTGCATTTACCTCGTTTGTGAAAGAAGAAATTAATTAACAAGCAGGGTAAAAACTACAAAAGGTTATGTTGCCATAGGAGAGTAAGAAAGACAGATGACATACCAAACTATAGAGAGCGTCGCATGGACTAAAATGAGGGATTGAACCTCCTTAAACACATATTAAATTGATTTCATTAAGAGCTGAGCAAAAATTTCAAAAGAGGATAGCAACTTGGTAAGCTCAGATGATATTTTGGGAGGAAAAGTTCCAGTTTGCATTGATCTATACCTATATACATATAAAATATGAGAGCAGCTGTATTTGACTGGATTTTTTTATCCTTGGCACTGTCTTATCCGTTCAATTTTTTAGTTACCGTCCCCACATGTAGATCAAGATCTTAGCCTATCATTTAAAGTACTTTTAATCACTGAGGCGCTATTTGACCCTCAAACTAAACTCGTAGTGCTCCTGCGCTACTGAGTAATGAGACTGAAAATTTTATGAAAGTAAGTATATTATACGGGTAGGGTCTCGTTAGCAAACGGTTCCAAGTGCTTTGCCCTAAAAATCTAATTTTATAGATTTTCTTAAAAATTTTTCTAATATTGACAACGTTAAATAACTTCGACCCAAAAAATGATACAACAAAGATTCACAGCTGTTATTGAGAATCACTGAGTGTAAAAACTAAAAGTAAGATTATAAAAGTGTTATATTTTAAAAAAATTCGAATTTTAATAAACAATTTTAAATATGATCTTCTAACTAATCTAAGTAACTTAAAAATGTTATTTTCAGTGAAGTAAAAGTCTTCTGAACTTCGTAAGAACAGAAATTTTACTACTTCAATCACGAGTAAAGTAGTAAAATTTCTGAGTTGACACTGTGTAACAAGTCTTACACTAATGAGATATTGATGTATATAAGAATAAGTTGTTTAAACACATCTAAGTAATCAATTCATGTTAAAGTTCATATTTTTAATTCATTGAATTCCTTTATAAAAAATCATTACTCTAAGATAAGAATACCCATTGCATCCATATAAGTTATTTTCACTTGTGACGTCATTCCAAGATGGCGCGATCACTGGGTTTTTTTTTCAAATTTGCACCAAATGTGCAAAACCAGCTGTGAAATTCACGAGGACGTCCGAACTAATGATAATGCGTTTAAAAACTTCAGGTTTTAATAAGCTATCGAATGAACACTAAACTTTTTACATCTTCACTAGGTAAGCAATGCAAAAAAATGAATGAAATTATCGCGGGCATAAAGTTGATTAGAAAAACATTTTATTTTTTGTGCTTACCATGATCCAGTTATAACGAATTTGAAATATAGTCAATAGCGATTCCCGATGCATTAGAGGAAATTTTTCGTTTGTTTGCCAAAAGTGTAGTTTTAATGAAAATCAGTACAGAAAATAAAGTACTGCAATCAGGCGGATTGTACCCGTCTAGTATACATATATATGGTTGCAAGCCTCCTCGCCTCCGCAATCATAACAAAGTCCCATAGCCTCTGACGAGCTGTCAAAATTGAAGCAGTGTGTGGCAAAAACATGAATAAAAGTTGTTGTATAAGTGGTTGTCACGATAAATCTGCGAAATGTTGTTGTCTTTTCATGGATAAAAAAATAATTTCATTTCATTCCTCTGCACTGATACTTTTGTATTTTTTGTTATCCGGAGAAATCACAGATGGAATACGAAAAAAAAATTTCGCAGATTTATCGTGACAACCACTTATACAACAACTTTTATTCATGTTTTTGCCACACACTGCTTCAATTTTGACAGCTCGCCAGAGGTTATGGGACTTTGTTGTGATCGCGGAGGCGAGGAGGCTTGCAACCATATATATGTATACTAGACGGGTACAATCCACCTGATTGCAGTACTTTTTTTTCTGTACTGATTTTTATTAAAACTACACTTTTGGCAAACAAACGAAAAATTTCCTCTAATGCATCGAGAATTGCTTTTGACTATATTTCAAATTCGTTATAACTGGATCATGGTAAGCACAAAAAATAAAATGTTTTTCTAATCAACTTTATACCCGCGATAATTTCATTCATTTTTTTGCATGGCTTACCTAGTGAAGATGTAAAAAGTTTAGTGTTCATTCGATAGCTTATTAAAACCTGAAGTTTTTAAACGCATTATCATTAGTTGGGACGTCCTCGTGAATTTCACAGCTGGTTTTGCACATTTGGTGCAAATTTGAAAAAAAAAAAAAAACCCAGTGATCTTGCCATCTTGGAATGACGTCACAAGTGAAAATACCTTATAGTTGTGAACTGACAGTCTACCGATCGTTGGTCAGCCTGACTTGACAAGAAAAGAATTACCATCATTTTGCAAAAAAAAAAAAAAAAAAAAAAAAAAAAAAAAAAAAAAAAAAAAAAAAAAAAAAAAANCCACTGGCTGTCGGTGGGCGATTAGAAATTACACTGACTTGACCAATTTTCAGAAACACGATAAATTTAGCGACTGGTGTCTTCTGAAAGCAGCTTATGCTAGCTGTACTAGATGCTCTATTTTAAAATTTTCTTAGCACAAAAACTGATACTTTACTTGCTAAAAAATTCCTTCTTCATTTTAAAAGTT